ATAGCTTGCCAATGTAAAGATAAGCATTGGGAGCGATCTATGCATTAGGCCAATGCATAGAATGCCTGGTTATTTAGCTGGGGCCTAGGTGTGGCAAACACCTATTGTTTCAGGCAGTCTACAATCGTCATCAGGGATTCTTCGTTGGACACAACTACATCACCGAGTTCGACTACGTTGGGACATCGCAAGGGCGGCCCCAACTGGGGCGTCGGCCCGCGTAAGTGTTTAAACTGTCTATCGCATTGTATTGTTCTAATTGAGGGTTTTGTTTATTTCCTTACATGTTGTTTTACATTCATTGCCGCATGCCACTTCGCAAGATGTAACTCTCGAGGGGAACCCACTGGTTGCTATGTAAAGCTGGTAGGAGGAAATAGCTGAGGCTATTGGTATATATATACATATAGGTGAAAAATATCATCATTAATAATAATAATAAAAGTCGCTCCTACAACAGCAACAATATTTCCCTAATTAATTTGAGGTAGCGTGTAGTGGGTAAAAAATTTAAAAATGAATTTTCAGAATAATATTTCATACAAATAAGAATGTTAATTCTGAAGATTTTTTAATTTATTGAGTTCTCTAACACTAAAAAGTGCTAACAAAAGTATTACGTATTTTACGTATCATCCCTGCTACTCTTTATTCCAAGCTCCAAATGACATACATGTGTATTTTTGCTGCGATTCATTTTGATTGAAAGTACAACATGCGAACTTCACATTACTGTATTACTTTGTTTGTCGAATTGCCATCGAATAAAGTACCAAAAAAAAAAAAAAACACTCGGCAAAGGCAATAAAGTTTTAAATATTCATAGACATTCCATCATATACGAGCTACAGAACTATCTATCTCAGTACGTATAAATGTAAATGTATTCACGTAGTCGTGTATCATCTTAAATTGAGTTGTTCTTCTTATGATCACGAATATTGTATGCAATATTAATATAAAATTCAACCTTGCTATTTATACCTACACACAGGCATTAGTTGAAACATCAAATTAATCACAAATCCGCGCCTCTGTTTTAATAACAAGTACTATGAAATCGATTACATTATTTTATACCAAATACGCGAAAACCAACTTTGAAAGGGGAAAATCCATTTCCGGTCGGTATTATGTTTAAATTGAATTTGTAAATGGCTGGTTATGCAGCGGCCACATGTACGCAAAAATAATTATTTTGCCATGAATAATGTATGAGGGTGCGGCTGCATTTAGCAGCTAAAATTTACATGAAAAATCAAAATTAATTTATAAATCACAGCAAGTGTATATTATACCTACGATTCATGAAAAAATAAATGGAATTAAACTAACCGAAAATTTTTTATAAGGTCTTGTTACACCAGAAAACAATCAAAATACTTGATTTTTTAATTTTTCCTTTTATACCTGTTTTCATAGATCCTGTTTCTTGACACAACGAATCCTGATAAGTATAAGCAGGTAAACCAAAGCTTGTGTAAGATAAAATTTGTTCAATTTTGTTCTTATTTCTTCATTCAAGTTGTTTTTAACGACTGGCATTTACCACCATGAAGTAAAACATTAATTGTAAATTGTTATTAATCATTAACAATCTTTTTCGAATTTCTAAATTAACCGTTCGCTAGCATACAAGTGACTTATTTCTATTGAAGGCGACTCTACCTTGCGCTGTCCTCTGCTTTATATCCCTACTACTCAGCCACATCAATGTAATGGTTTCGTTTCCTATCTTTATATTCGCTGTTTTCTTACTTTTTCTTCACTTGCATACCAATATTTTTGGTTTAGTTTTATTTAGTTTCATACAATACTGTTTCGTCAATACCGCTTCCATTTTATTTAAAATTATCTCTAACTCTTCCTTGTTAGATGCTAATACTGCTATATCATCTGCAAATTTAAGCATACTAATATTTTTTTCCTTGTATATCTATCCCTACAATCCCTACTGTATTAATTTAATTCTGATTAATTATTGAGAAACGCACAACATACTTTTGGATTACACTTCTTACATGGAATAAATCTGATAGTTTTGTTTGAAAGGACATAAGAATTATGTTTGGAAGAAAATCTATCTTAAAGTTAAAGAAGATACTTATCTAACACAAAAAGCTGCATGCTACTGTTGCATGTACAAGTGCAATAGCAAATAATCCTATGCATTTTGGCGAAGTCACGAAGTGCCATCGTGTTCCTTATTCTTCTCTGACAAAATAAGTTTCGGATAATATTTAGGTCGCCTAAACACAAGGAAGGATAAGCAAGAGTTGAGTCACATGAAATAATGTGTAAAATCAATATGACACCAAAATGACAAACTCGAAAAAATTAAACCACAATTCAATAAAACTTTAACCGAATCAACTGTATTTTCTATAAACCTAATCTCGATACTTTTTAATCTACAAGTCGAAGACGCGATCAATATCATTAAAGAAAGGACAACAGTAGGGATATATATATAGGGACAAAAGATTAGTATTGTAGCGAACACGAGTGTGTTTGTGTGCGATAGGGAGCACGTGTGCGTGAACGGCTTATCGATTCGCCGACTAGCCGCGGGCGCCTTTCTTCATGTGCGCCGTATTTGTAAATGTGTGTGTCGTATCTGCGTTCTGAGAAAGCAGATAAACAGTTCAAAGAAAAAATAAACTATCCGAATGCTTTCCGAAGGTTCCACAAAGTAAACAAAAGAGTAGATAGACTTAAATGGTATGGAATTTGTGTTACAAACAGTATAGACATATTAGAAGCAGAAACAGAAGTTAAGAGGAGTAGATATATAAAAATGCTATTAGAAACACATCCCCTTCCGTATATATCTCCAATAATCTCAGATAGTCAATCGCGTAGACCAAAATTGTTTGCTAATCAAGGATTAACTGATTAATATGCAGTCAAAGTTTACACCTTTAAAAAAATAAAAAGAAATAATAATAAAAAATGAAATTTTACATTGTTACCGTATGCAAAAATATGCCTGAGCCACTTTTAACGTCAAATATCCATCCGCAGGTGTATTCAATTTAAATTTCTATTTAAGGGAAACCGTCCGTTAGAAGTTAACGATCGACATTGTACGTGTACACATATGTATATATAAAAAAAGGTAAAGTTGTAGTGGTATTTTATATCTCTCCCGTGGACATTATTCCTCGTCTCCCTCAGAAATTTCATTTTCGAAACGGGATCGTTCCTTGTATCATGAAATATTCAAATATTGCGTCAATAAAACTTCAAAGTAACGTTTCAAGCAGCCAAAGCAACCCCCAATCTCTTTCTCTGTCCCTCTTTACATACAAACAAACTCATTTAGCTCAGACAATTACATTTGCTTCCTTTACATAGATTAAATAGACAGACACGACATTTCCTACATATGTACAAATTCTCAGTTCAGAGAAAGGCACCATACCGTAATTTCTATGTTTCTTTTTGTTTGTAGAGAAAAGTAATGAGAAGTAGAGTATTTGAGTCGTCGGCGAGCGTGCGGCGAGTCCCAGTTATGTGTATCTTTTAAAAGAAATATTTCTAAGAGTTATTGCGTTTTTGTATCAGCTATAATACTAAATTCTTTTATTAAAAAGCTCAAAGTTGAAAAAAAACACGAATTNTTTTATGGGCCTTTAAATCTTAACAGTTTTCCCTTTCAGTAAAAACTGGACTAGTACTAATACCAACTCAATTTTTATTTTTTAACATCAAATGTCCCAACTTAGCCTTCAATAATTACTCGTGGCTCTTTAATCGAGGTTCTTTTTTTAAATTTTCTAAATTACTTTAAATTTTGAACTAAACTGTACTTCTACTTAGTTAACCACCTAAAGATTTCTAGGTTCAATCTTAATTTACTTTTAGTCGGATGGGGTAGGCTAAGTTGGGACATTCTTTATTGCGTTCGGAAAGTTTCAATTCGTTTAATTTTCGAAGATTGTCGCCTAACTCACCTTACTGGGTGGTTGAATACGATTTTTGCTTGCCATCGTTGGATTCATAAATCGATTATTCTTATTATTGATGTACTCTTTGTATGAGGGCGACTTGTCGGGTAGCGGATAGGGGTTTGTGACCTCGCTAAGGTACGGCTGTTTGCTGAAGGCGAGCTGGAGTTTGTGCTCGCCCTGCGAGTTTCTCAGATTGTTCTCGTCCTCTTTTGACAATTTATGATTGAGGGGCGCGGCCCCCGTCAGCCCCACAACCACGTTGTTTAGATTTTGAACACACCTTTCCACCGCAACCCCGTCACCCATTTGTACCATCGCGGTGCCCTCTTTGGATTTCAAGAATTTTATCTGAGGCGAAAGAAAAAACACCCCTTAGTTAATACAACCAAGTGGATTTTGGCACCAAATCAGTGTTTGGGTTTCGAAAACTTCAAGATGTCGACATCAAAATATAAGATTGTTCCTATTATATAAAAGGTACATCTCTCTAATGGATTTTTGTGTAAACAAATTGTTTAAAGACTTTTTACTTTACGTTATTTGCTAATTTTCATTGTTGAAAAACTGCGAAATTAATTTGCCCAAATGTCCCTATTGCCTTTTGGAGAGGATTACTTCAAGTAACCAAAAAATTACGCGGAAATATAATTCAAAATTTATCTCGATTAGATAATGTTGCTCGTTCGTACACATTAGAATAAAACGACTTACCCGAGCCACATTCCCATACAAACACATTAGATTAAAAAGCTTATCACAATTGGTACGTAAAGGATCGAGGCCATATACCATTAGGACCGCTCCCGGCTGTTGGAAGGGTGGCGCGCCCCTTTGCTCGCGGTATTCCGCCAGGGGCGGCGCACTCTTCCGGTACGTATCTGGACCTCCTCCGAACGAGTCGTTACTTCCATAACCGCTTCCTGGACCGGCGCATATTTCATCGTACCTCTGGGGCTCGTGGTGAGACGTATACGCATCTGGAACAGTACGAAAAAAAACCTCTGAAACTTACACCGAAAAGAACGTTCGCTGCAGTCATAATTACTTTTTACGAGAAATAAAGCATTGTCATTTAAGATACTCTAAATGTTTCACATTTTGTGTTGAGAACAAGAGAGTGAAAACGACATTAACATTCTATAGCACAATGTACTTTTTCATAGTCCATTACAATTCCGAATAGCTGCCGTAAAAGTATAATAAATAATGATATAAAAATTTTGGATGACGGTGCTGCATGCGTTGACGAATAATAAAAAAATTAATGTTTGCGTGTTCTGAATTGATTCCATGAACGTCTGAGATGCCTGTCGATAAACATTAAACGTAATCTTTCTTATAAATGTTTCAGCACGCTGTTATCCAATAAATGGATTATGAAGCTATATTTTATTTCAATGAGGATGAAGAGAAGTCGCAACCCTGCGCAACTTAAAAAACATTAAACATAATCCTTAATGGAACAGAAAGAAAATAGGAATCAATGTGAACAACTTCAGATGTGATTTGGATCCTTCAATTACAACTCGACTCAAGATATGTAGAAAATAAAAGCATCCGGAAACTGCTTTATATGTGATTTGCACCCTACAAGATGATTTACAATACAAGTACATACATGAGTGTAATGTTCAAGGTACATATATGCTGCTCGGTTACAACTCGTCTCAAACATGCCACACACAAATGGAAACATTCGGAATCAATACATACAGCTCTATATGTAATTTGAGTCTCAATACAAGGCTATTTATGATGCTGGTGATCTATATTTTGCCAGTATAATATCCAAGGCACATACTTGCTGCTCGGTTACAACTCGTCTCAGACATGCCATAAATAGAAACATTCAGAATCAATACACACAACCCCGTATGTAATTAAAGTCTCAATACAAAGCTATAAATTATACTGGTGCTCTATCCTTTGCCAGTATAATGTCCAAGCCACATACTTGCTGCTCGGTTACAACTCGTCTCAGACATGCCATAAATAGAAACATTCAGAATCAATAGACACAACTCTATATGTAATTGGAGTCGCAATATAAGGCTATTTATGATGCTGGTGATCTATCGTTTGCCAGTATAATGTTCAAGGCACATACTTGCTGCTTGGTTACAACTCATCTCAGACATGCCACAAACGGAAACATTCGGAATCAATACACACAACTCAATATGTAATATGAGTTTCAATACAAGGCTATTTATGATGATGGTGCTCTATCCTTTGCCAGTATACTGTCCAAGGCACATACATGCTGCTCGGTTACAACTCGTCTCAGACATGCCACAAATGGAAACATTCGGAATCAATACACACAACTCTATATGTAATTTGAGTCTCAATGCAAGGCTATTTATGATGCTGATGCTGATGCTCTATCCTCTACCAGTGTGATGTCCAAGGCAGATACTTGCTGCTCGGTTACACCTCGTCTCAGACATGCCACAAATGAAAATATTCGGAATCAATACACAAAACTTCGTATGTAATTGGAGTCACAATGCAAGGCTATTTATGATGCTGGTGCTCTATCATTTGCCAGTATAATGTCCAAGGTACACACTTGCTGCTTGGCTACAACTCGTCTCAGACATGCCACAAATGGAAACATTCGCAATTAATCTAAGAACTTCTCATGCAATTTAAGTCCTAACACAAGACTTTTTATATTCTTACCAGTGTAATGTCCAATGCACATATATGCTGCTCGGTTACAACTCGTCTTAGACATACCACAAATTAATACATTCGGAATTAATTTAAACAACTTGAGGTATGATTTGAACCGTAAAAGGCTACTTATGACTCTGTTGGTACGTTTTTACCGGTGCATTGCTACTCATAGGTACTCAGGTATTGTTCGGCTAAAACTCGTCTCAAAGATGGCGTACGTTAAAGAAAGATTGGGCCGAGTGCGTCTTGAAATTTCAGACGACTTTTTTATACATACTGTTCTGTATCCTTCACACTACAGGGTACTTCCCAAAGAAGTCGACGAATACGTAACAAAACACGTACTTCAGTATGATATAGCTGTGTCTGATCACAAAACAGACGCCTACTACGTGATATTCTATTATTTACGGTTATCACCTAGGTGATTATATTTTCACCAAACAATTGCCTCTATTGTTGTTTGTTTGATGGTTTTAAATTTGAAAAAGCTCATTTCGTGCCTGTCTATTATCTCGCAAAACATAAAATCATTTAATTTGCGAAGAAAATTAACTAAGTGACTGACAAGCGCGTCCCGGCTGGTGTTTATCAAACCGTTATAGATTCAGAATTGAGGCAGAAGGAGACGTGGCGAATGGATTATTATTAATTGAATGAACGATGGCAGCGGTAAAAGATCCCGTACATTATAAGTAAACATTCCTTCCACTCGAAGAGTCTTTGCCTTTGATCATAAGCTTTTGCGGAGGAATTTGACACAAAAATTCTTTCGTTATTATAAAACGCTAAGAACACAGAGAAAGCGTTAGCATTTCGATATAACGGGAACAGCGACAAGCCAGCAGTTTCGTCCATATCAAAGTCTTTTGGATTTTACAAGAGTTAAAACATAAAAAGTAACCTACTATTCCTAATTTTTGAATCAAAGGCAAAAACCACTTTTACGAAAATCGTTTGTCTCATTACCTTTGGTGACAATGACACTGAAAAGACGTCTTCTAAAACCATTTAAAGATATTACTCTAAAAAAAAATATAGAAAACTCCTTAAAATCCACCCAGTGATTCTTGAGAGTTTTGTGACTACTTTCGGACAGACCTTTTACCAAGGCATGTATAAGGCAAGTTGCTGAATACCACAATACCGAACAGAGTCTAATTACAAATAAGAAACATACATACAATTTAGACATCTTTTCGAAGTGAGTTAGTTTAATATGGAATATTATTCTGAAAATTCATTTTTGAATTTTTTACCCACTACACGCTACCTCAAATTAATGAGGGTGGGATAGGGTTAGAACATTGGTGCGTAAAACAAAGGTCCCGGGTTCGATCCCCGGCGGGAGCGTGACAACAGTGTAGGAAAGTTATTTATTCGGCATGTATTTACTATTTGGGCTAACCAAATACTAATGACATATATGTAGAAACCAAAGAGGGCCGTTATAAGAGGGCTTTTAAGTTAAAGTCACTGGTGCAGTAGCAGTCGGCGTGTAAGGATGTGTAAAGCGCCTTAAGGGCGGTTGGTTACTCTGGTGAGAGAGTTAGATGCCGTAGGGCAGTTGGTTACTCTGGTGAGAGAGTAAGATGCCGTAAGGGCAGTTGGTTACTCTAGTGAGAGTAAGGTGCCGTAAGGGCAGTTGGTTACTCTAGTGAGAGTAAGGTGCCGTAAGGGCAGTTAATATTTGATAATATTGAGAAAGTTGGTTATTGTGCACATATTATGTATTTTATGTGTTGTTGTTATTGTTGAAATGTGAGGCCTGTAAAAGTGTAAGGCCAACGGCCGACGGGTCGGATGAGCCTTTAGGTGGAGTGTAAATCCTGTGCGTAAGGTAGTCCACTGCAGATCTAGCTAGATATGCCTGGAGTGGCAGTGCACCTGTGGGTGACGTGTTAATGAGTAGAAGTCCACTCCTTGACCTGCCGTATACAGCAGTGGCCTGAGTGTCGGTAAAGCTGCGGTGATATCGGCACAAGGGCGTCCAGTAGAGGGATAAGTCTCTACATATAGCTTGCCAACGTAAAGATAAGCATTGGGAGCGATCTATGCATTAGGCCAATGCATAGAATGCCTGGTTATTTAGCTGGGGCCTAGGTGTGGCAAACACCTATTGTTTCAGGCAGTCTACAATCATCATCAGGGATTCTTCGTTGGATACAACTACATCACCGAGTTCGACTACGTTGGGACATCGCAAGGGCGGCCCCGACTGGGGCGTCGGCCCGCGTAAGTGTTTAAACTGTCTATCGCATTGTATTGTTCTAATTGAGGGTTTTGTTTATTTCCTTACATGTTGTTTTACATTCATTGCCGCATGCCACTTCGCAAGATGTAACTCTCGAGGGGAACCCACTGGTTGCTATGTAAAGCTGGTAGGAGGAAATAGCTGAGGCTATTGGTATATATATACATATAGGTGAAAAATATCATCATTAATAATAATAATAAAAGTCGCTCCTACAACAGCAACAATATTTCCCTAATTAATTTGAGGTAGCGTGTAGTGGGTAAAAAATTTAAAAATGAATTTTCAGAATAATATTTCATACAAATAAGAATGTTAATTCTGAAGATTTTTTAATTTATTGAGTTCTCTAACACTAAAAAGTGCTAACAAAAGTATTACGTATTTTACGTATCATCCCTGCTACTCTTTATTCCAAGCTCCAAATGACATACATGTGTATTTTTGCTGCGATTCATTTTGATTGAAAGTACAACATGCGAACTTCACATTACTGTATTACTTTGTTTGTCGAATTGCCATCGAATAAAGTACCAAAAAAAAAAAAAAACACTCGGCAAAGGCAATAAAGTTTTAAATATTCATAGACATTCCATCATATACGAGCTACAGAACTATCTATCTCAGTACGTATAAATGTAAATGTATTCACGTAGTCGTGTATCATCTTAAATTGAGTTGTTCTTCTTATGATCACGAATATTGTATGCAATATTAATATAAAATTCAACCTTGCTATTTATACCTACACACAGGCATTAGTTGAAACATCAAATTAATCACAAATCCGCGCCTCTGTTTTAATAACAAGTACTATGAAATCGATTACATTATTTTATACCAAATACGCGAAAACCAACTTTGAAAGGGGAAAATCCATTTCCGGTCGGTATTATGTTTAAATTGAATTTGTAAATGGCTGGTTATGCAGCGGCCACATGTACGCAAAAATAATTATTTTGCCATGAATAATGTATGAGGGTGCGGCTGCATTTAGCAGCTAAAATTTACATGAAAAATCAAAATTAATTTATAAATCAC